AAAGACATTAATTAAATCAGAAAGTTATTTAATAAATTTACTTGCTACATTTTTGTTTACACATCTATTCCTAGAGTTAAGCAGCCATTTCTTTAAAAAGAAAATTCTGGAGCATATTTATATTGTCTTTCTCAAACTACTAGTCTAAGGTTGTGAAACTTTCCTGGGTGTTGGGCTGAGGCTATGGCTTACTGACTGACTGGTGGTGTGTCTCCTGGGGCTGGCGTAAAGAACTCTGAGTGGGGGGCTACCCGGGAGCTCTGGTGTGCCCCGTCCTCCTTCAAATCTCTTGCATTTAAATACAGCACCTATTCAGTTTTCAGCGTTTGAAATGATGATCTGAATTAGCAGACACACCGCTGAAACCCAACTGCACTTCATGCCTACACAGATGGCCCCTGAAGGATGAGCTGGCCAAGTGCTTGTCACTCAGTGAACTTTGGCCTCCCTAGCTCCACCCCCACCTTGAGTTTACTTCCTTCCCGATGTCCTGCTTTGGGTCTGTAAAACATTCACAGATCTCAAAGGTCATCTATCTGTTCATGAGCTTTCATTGACTTTTGTGGGTCACATGGGCCTGATTCGATTGACATTTCAAGAATGAACTTTAACAAGATGATAGCCTGTTATTTCACACTTATTAACCGCCTCTGAGCTTCCTGATTTTAGGTGCTGAGAGCACTTTGGTAGACGCCTGACTCTTCGAAGTTCATTGAGATAAATAGAGTATCATATCTGAAAGCTTACATTTCAGTGATCCACTTTTCTGTGCTTTCCCCCATATGTAAAGACTTGCAAAGGAGCTGACACACCTCATTCTCTTCACCATCAATGCACCACCCCAACAACAACTGTTTAATAAATTGCAAACTTGGAAGGAAGGGAGGATTGGAGAAGCCACTCAGATTCCCTCCAGTTTCCCTGCTCTGTATTAAGTCTTCATCAATCACACCCTGGCGTGGCACTGAAGTGTCTGGCTGGACCGCATACTCCTTTCTCCCTTGCACACCTGTATAAGCCTTACTCTACCTTTACCATTTTAGTTCTTCCTACAAACAGCCTGAAGCGTCACTAGGCCAGGAACTATCATCTATCTCTCATGGCTCCATGCTTGTGAAGCAGGCAGGGATTTACCCTAAAGCCCCAAAGCATTTCTTTATCTTGCCCCCTTCTCCTTTCTTAGGAAAGACTTCTGAAGATTGGGAGTGCTCAATGTGTCATAAAGTATAGGTGAAACTTTACTGAAATGGGTACTCTTATGGGATTATATCTGAAGCCTGTTTCCTTAGGAAATAGGGATTTTGCAACATAACTGGATCAAACTCACATGAATCTGGTTTTGAGAAGCAGGACATAGACCTACAAAGCAGGCATCCAACTGCCCCATGACAAGTGAGTGAGAGGGAGGCTTTGAAACAACTTTCAAGGATGCAAAGTCTCTCTCCTTTGTCCCATCACTGTCTAAAACCATTGGATGAACTAGTCAACCAATCAACCAGCCAACTAACCAGTCAGTCATCCAACCAACCAACCAACCAACCAACCAACCAACCAACCAACCAACCTGCCAGCTAACCAATCAACCAACTTGCCAGTCAACCAACCAGCCAATCACTCAGCCAGTCAACCAACCAGTCAGCTAACCAGCTAGCCAACCAACTAGCTGGCCAGTCAACTAACAAGCCAGACAACCAACCAACCAATCAACCAGCTAACCAATCAACCACCCAACCAGTCAACCAACCAACCAGCTAGTCAACCGACCAACTAGCTAACAAACTGGCAAGTCAACCAATCAATCAATAAATCGACCAACCAACCAACTAACCAACCAACCAACCAATCAACTAACCAATTAACCAATCATCCAGCCAGTCAACCAACCAGTCAACCAGACAACCAACCAATCAGCCATCTATCCAATCAGCCAGTCAGTCAACCAACCAGCCAGTCAGTCAATCAACCAAACAATCAACTAACCAGATAGTTAGTCAGTCAACCAACCAACCAACCAACCAATCAACCAATCAACCAACCAACCAATCAACAAACCAACCAACCAAATGGCCAGCCAACTAATTCCAGCCAACAATTCAACCAGTCAACCAACCAACTAGCCAACTAATCATCCAACCAAGCAACCAGCAATCTAGCCAGCCAATTATCCATCCATCCATCCATCCATCCATCCATCCATCCATCCATCCATCCATCCATCCATCCATCCATCTATCCATTCAAACAACTAGCCATCCAACCAAACAGCCATCCAGCCAGTCAACTAGCCAACCAACCAAATAAACAGAAACCCCCAGTCTTCCTAGTTCAGGAACTTATTTGCTGCTATTTGTGGTACTGGTTTGGAAGCCAAGCTAGTGTTCCCTAGTGGCCAAGATTGCACTGTGAAGACCAGAGAGGTAGAGATATGTCCTCTTTAACTGTCTCTGGTGGCATGAATCCCTCCCTTTCTACTCAGTCTTCTGCTTTACCAGATGACACAGTAGGGGTTAACATTCATTCATGTCATCCAGTGTAGCTCCTCCTCTTCTTTGGAGGAAGTCCAGAGCACGGGGGTCATGGATTCACTGGAGCCAACCTTGCCCTTCCAGTTTTCAGGTTGAAGCTTAGAGACAGCCATCTCTACCTTAGCAAGTCTTCCCCAGAGTTTAACTTACCATTTTTTCCTGTTTTCCTGGCCTTCCTCCCAGTACCCCAAACTACTTTTCTATCCTTTCCACCCTTTCTCAGCACAATTGAGTTATTTAAAGGAAAACAAAACACAAAATGAAACAAAAAACCAAAATTATCCTATGAAGGGAGGGCCTCTGTGTCAGGTTCTTTTCTAGTGAGACAAGAGGATCTGCTGCCGTCTCTCACTTGTCCCTCATGGCCAGCAAACGTGTGTAAACCAACTGGGCAGCATCAAGGACATGGCCAGCTTGTGAGCGCAGAGTAGGAAATAGTTCACTGGTTCTCCCCAGTGAGAATCATCCCCATTGGCCTAGCGGCACATGCATTAAGCCAACACAGTAAACGCTCATATTCAGTTAGAACCCGCATGGTGAGCCCAGTGGTAGCCACACTGGTCTCCTGGGGTGGCATGGCTCTTACACCAGATCTGAACAGATCTGCCAGTGGGTACTGAGTCAGTACCTGTGACCAAGGCCAGTGTTCATCAGAGTTATTCAGACCTCAAATTAGACGCTTAGAATACAGGAGATTTTTCATTTTTCTTCCACTAGAGAATGAACCGAATCAAAGTGGGGCTGTCTTGGGAGCACCCACTGGTGTGGTTCTACATTTCTTGGGTGGCAACTCACAAACCACTGGAGAAGAAATGCTGTACTAAAGGAATTTAAGCCTGTCAGGTTAATTACACAATATTAGGTACAAAAACAAACAGTGCAACACAAAACATAGCTACATCATTATTTGCAGTAAATGTTAACTCTAAATAAGTGCAACCTGTCCACAAATGCTTGCTATAAACTAATTAAAAAAAATAAAATTTGATGGATAAACATGAAAAAAAAATTCTCACCGAGAATTTTTTTTTTAAATATCAGCACTCATTTAGAGTTCGGGATTTGTGAAAGAAAGCTTTAAAAGGAGCAAACCTGATTGGCTGTGGCTGTTGCTGCGAAGGGGACACTTGTTGCAGGAGTTGTTGCTGCAGAGACAGTGGCGGACGTAGCGCTGTGCATCATGGGTACTTTCAGGAGGGGAACCATGGGAGCAATGAACAGGAGGGTGTAGCATTATGGTAATAGAAGTGGTATTTGGCATGGTGAATATCAGAGCAGCAAGCCATCATGGGTTAAACCAGCAGATGGCATGCAATCACAATGCAAAGCAAGGAAGCATGGGAGAGAAATAAAAAGGGAAAATAGCTTATTACAAGTACAATTAAAGGAAGTCTTCAAACATAATCAGTGATTCCCAGAAAGGCCAAAGCACACGCTTTGATTGATGTATTCATAAACATTTTGCTTCCAATGACAGAGTCATTCCCAATTCAGAGTGTATCATGACTGTGACAATGGCTGCTTCTCAAAACATGAGACTAGGCAATATCCAATGAAATGAGAACATATTTTAACCAAAGTAGACTAATCATAAATTCTAAAACATTGAAGGCTCAGAAGACCTAATAAGATAAAATGAACTTTGGAATTAATTATGGTTAGTGTAATTTTTTTTCCAATTTGGAATCACATTTTTAAACTGGAATTTCAGTGGATTATGTTGATCTTGGTCAATAAACAGTAAGGCAAAATAAATGGCCTTGGTGCAATTCTAGAGGATTTACCGTGAAGTGACCAGATCGATTTTGCCAATGGTTACTTTCTAGAGTCCTACATGAAACCGATTGGGTGTCCTGAAGACAGACTTTTGCGCCAAGGCCCCAAATGTAAGAGAAGACTCCACTATTAAAGTTTCCCACATAAGGGAATGTGGAGGCATAATATATATATATATATATATATATATATATATATATATATATATCACACATAAGTCAACACTCTAAAAAGATAATTAAGCAAGAAAGTTCAGAAACGTGATTTCAAAATACATCCATGTATAGTTTTTTATCCAAAAGTAAATATTTCTGGGAAGCTCTGATAACTCTAACACACAGCAAAGAGGAGATCAAGGCACACCACTATGAAACTTTAAAACATTGATGAAATTAGCCTGCCTCTGTTTGCCTCATGCTAAACCAGAAAAACTATAAAGAGAAACAGAACACAAATCATTAAAAAGCACACTTGTACTTGTGGTTTTCTCTCTGCAGTGGTTGTCCTAGCATAAGAGGTCACACATCAACAACTATCGTTTTCTTAAATACACAAGCATAGCTTACACATTAAGTCTAAAGCCATTAAAGCCTTCAGGTCTACTTCCTAAATCATTTTCTACCATTTCTGAAATCAATGTCAAACAGTGAAGGCATTGTACATCATATAAAAGACAAATAAAAAAAGGTTGAAACCTACCAATACTGGTAGCGGGTGTCATGCACAAAACTGACCCTGAAGTCATGCAAGGGGGGTGGAGAAAGTGAATAAAGGGAAAGAAACAGGTTAGCGGTTTAGAGTTAACATTCAAAGTGAGACTGAAGCACAACCAGAAATCAGTAGGGTTAGTTCACACAGTTTTAGGACTGTTCACATCGTCAGTATAGACACAGAGATAGCCAACTCACTTTAAGCCAATAAGGTTCCGGGCCCACCCTCCCATTATTCCCATTATTCCCCCTTTCTGTTCACCTAGGCCAACGTGATTCTAACAGGGTGACAGGTGATGGCACCACAGCGCCCTCTGAAGACGTCAACGTCTTGTCCGGACATTACCAAGTCCACCCTCTCAGGCAGAGAGTGGGTATATTTTACAGATGAAAAATCTGAGGCACAGTAACTCCTCCAAGGTCGTGTGCAGCATGGGTCAAGGGCAAGGCTGGAATCGAGTTCCATGCTAAATTCAGGTCAGATTTGCATCACGCTCATGGCTTTAAAAGTCTGTTTGGCAATGAAATGTGTTGGGTATCAATAGCGGTGGAAAGATATAAACAGTGAATTAAGATTTCCTAGCCTCTAAGTCAGAGCCGTGCCAGGTAGGGCAGGGGAATCTTAAGCTACTACTTGGATGCTAGTAACGACTATGGAGGCTTCTGAATGAAATCAGTTACATAGTTCTGGGTCTCTCTGGCTATGATTCGCTGTGACAAAGAGGTGGCACCTACCGGTGGGGTCTAAGTATTATATAGCAAACATGCAGATCTGGGGCTCCACTGGGACCCAGGTGAGAGATTTGATCATGGTCATGTCAAGGTAACTTCCGAGGGATCAAAGAGGGTAGGAAACCTCAGATTGGTCTCTAGGTTAGTGACAATGTCAGTGCTTCCTGGGGAAGAACTACGTTATCCGTGGATGGTCTTAATGGACACACATCACCGGAGTCCCACCAAGAACAGAGACGCCCGTCAGATGTGTTGTGAGTGCTGAGGGATGAGCTGCTATTGGCCCTGTCCCTCAGGATGCAGGCTGAGGCAAAAGAAGGATTCCTGGAAGTTCAAGGATGTCCATTCGAGTGGTCTATTTAATGAATGTAGGTGTATCTGCGGAAGGTGTCAGAACCACCCGCTGGGAGCTTAGGTGTGGACTCTGCAAAGTACTTGTCTTAATTCACTCTGATAAGGACTTCTGGCGTGGCCTACATTTTGACCAGGCTGACATTACTAAGTTGGGAAAAGGCTTTTCAAGTGGGCTACCACGGGCTTCTATGACAGAGATGTGCCAGGACACCCAACTTCACACACGCACTGCGACACACACAGAGGTACTCACATGCCTCCAAAGCCCCCTCGGCTGACGTGATCTTTTCCTCCAGCCCTATCTTTCTGCTCTTCCCCAGTGTCTAGGAAGTCCTCTATGCCCAGTGTCATGCCTCCCACCTGCCCTCCAGTCCTCTCCAACTGGTTTACTGCCCAGATTGAAAGAACAGTTACATCTTCACTTACAATTCAAGAGCCACTTGGCACTTGTCTACACCCTGTATCTAAGTCACTTTCTTCCCTTGAATTCTTAGTCAGACACACACACACACACACACACACACACACACACACACTCTAAAAGCTTAGGCTGAATTCTCTCTTTGTATGCTAGAGTTTTAGAACCTGTCCTGGGTTACTTTTATTTTTATTTTTCTGCTCTGTGGGTCTTCCAGGTGTCTCCTGATCTATACATTTCAAAGTTATCAGTGAACTTATAGCTTCCACATTCCGTGTCCTCCTGGCCTCTCCACCTGGGCTTCACAAGTGTCTCCAATGTAACATGCTAAGCTGTGCTCTTTCTCACACTGTCTCCTCCACATCTGGAAACACCTGGTGGATATCATCACCCATGGAGCACTTTGGCCTCAACTGTTATGCGACGCCATTTCCCTCAAGACACTCCCTGGACCGGTGAGCCAGCCTCAGGCAGTGTCTGCCTCGCTGAGCATCTGTCTGCTTATCTGTCACTTCTGCAGCTCTGAAAGCCCCAAGCATTAGTGCAACTCCATCTGGCTTTCCTGCTCCCTGCCTACTCCCGGCTCCACTCCACTGCCGAGTTGCCTCAACTCTGGGAAGGATTTGCTGGCTTCCAATGCTTAACAATGGAGGTCCTGCAAGCCCAGGCCATGGACTACCTCCCCACTGTGTCTCCTTCCCTGGTACCAAGGTCTCGATGGCCCTTCACTGATTTCAACTGAACATATCATACTTTTAATCTAGCTTTGGGCTTCCCACAGCTGTCCTCTTCCCCGTGTCTAGAAAACTCTTTAACCACTATGTTCATCTATCATGGGTCACACATGTGCCATTTCCCCAGAAAATCTTCATTTCCCCGCCTCCCCCGCCATCTACGTTAGTTTCTATTTTAATTTCTACTTAGTTATCTGAGCTCTTTGCGTTCTTATTCATAGTATGCTAAATGTTAACAACCTATTTGTATGAATGTTTAGCATCTTTTTCTCTCATTCTGCCGTGAACTCAGAAGGGCAGAGAGCCTGTCTGGCAAGGTGAACAGGGCATCTCAGGATACCTCTGTGTGGCGGCACTGTTCCAGCCAGCAGTAAGATGGGCTCTGAGAGAAATCTCTTCCTGAATGTTATTAAAAAGCCTGGTCTATATCCCACGTAAAAGCCAGTCACACCAGGTTTCAAAGTTCCTTCTGTAAAATCCCCCTTTTATTCTGCACCCGAGAGTGAACGAATGGGCTTGCTCCAGGGCCTCCTGGGTCACAAAGGGTGTGACCCACCAGAAGCAGCTCCTGCTCAACACAGGACTTGCACAGCGGCCTTCTGGCTTGTGTCCTGGATGTGGGAAGTGCTTGACCATGCTACATCAGGGGCCCCTCTACCTGCCAAGAGTGATTTGAACATCGGAAGTGTGGGGCTTCTGCCGTGGGGATCGCTCTCTTTATGCTGGATTCTGGACCCACTCAGCTTTGCGAGCCGCGTTCCCACCCTTCACCCCCGTCCTACCCTGTTCTTCCCACAGGTCCTGTGAATACTTTGTACTAGTACCACAGCAAACCATGCTCTCTCTCTTCTTCAAACCTGCTCTGGCCAGTATGCTCTTCCTCTAACAGTAAAACTGTACTCCTTTCTCAAAGTCCTTAGCAATTTTCTCCTGCTCTGAAAAAATCTTCCTTCTCTGCATCGCTTCTCCCACTGCCTGATGAAGATGAACGCCTTGCCTGTTTCTTTCACCCTCGCCCATCTTATTGTGGATTCTTGTTTCTACCCAGCTCCTGTGAGTCTGCAATCCAGACCATAGCATGTGCTCAAGGAGTGCTTGCTGAATGGAAAAGAATCCACACATTCTAACTTGAGGCAGACAGTTTCCACCAAACATGAATAATCCTTTTACAAGCGTGTGAAAACTTTATGTAACACATGTGGCTTCTCATGGCCTAGAACCTTCCAAATGCACTTCCAAAGTAATGAAGTATTTCAAGGTGGGTCAAGGAAGGGCCGTACTGCCTCTGTTGTGACCGGCAGGGCATTTCACTAGGAAGCCAATGCTACGGATAAAGCCTATGCTACGGATAAAGCCTTCTCCAACATTTGCCTCCTCCACCGCACAGACACTGTGAGCCAGAACGCTCTGGGATCACTCTTACTTTTGCATGCCATTTTGTAGTGTATACACGGCCTCAGTTTTTCCATCTGCAAAATGCACACAACTGTTCACCACTTTAGAACTGCGACATCTTGAGGAACAATGGCAATGTCGTCAGGAACGCTTGCAGCGACCTGGAATAAACTTGCCACGGAGATGCCCACAGCCTTTATTACAGTGCTGCTTCCGAGACCATGTGGGGTTTTGCCACTTTCCTACCATAGCAGAGCAAATGTATAACTTCTTATTTAAAATAACCCCTGTCAGAAAAAAGAAGAAGCAAAGAAGAAAAGTCCCACCCACTAGAATGTGCCAGGGCTCCAGCCAAGGTGGCAATTATCTCACTATGGCTGTGGGGAAGAAGCCCACACCCTGCGTGACATTTTACATTCAATATTTACAGCCTGGAGGCACAGCTCCTAAAATTCAAATTCTAATTGTCAATGGGAGGATTTTAGTTTCTATCAAAACTTTACTATGGATGGCCTTTCAACATACCACACACACACACACACACACACACACACACACACACACACATGTCCCTGATCCATCTATCTGTGATAATTGCTTATGGATAACATTAACAGAAAGATTCCCTTATAAAAAATGTTTGTTAAAAATAACAGTTAACCATCTGCTAAAAGTGACTATATAACATCATCACCAGATAAGCAGAGGTTTAAAAACAACCAGGATAAATCTTGAATGATTATCATTGCCATAAAGTCGAAGACATGGTTTATAAGAAATAGATCCTGAAGCAAACAAAGAAACAAAAAAAAATCTCCTAATATGACCATGGAGATTTCTGCTATGTATTTAATTGCTAGAGAACTTACGCTAAATTTATTTTAATAAAATTATGTTCTCTATCAGTCCATACAAGTGTGATGAATTTCTCGGGAGTTCAGATACCACTCCAGTACACAGAACTCACATGATTATCCACTGTGATCTCTACACCACACAGCAAACATGCCGTAAACACCTGTAGTGCAGAACTAAGCGGGCCACAGTCCATCCCTTGGCTTCCAAAGGCCACAGGTTGCCAAGACAGCTGAGCTGTTCCTAGGGAATCCACCAGAGGTCAGCATACACAGCCGCAGCTCCCAGGGACTTAAGCTATGCTGTTCACCTGTGCCCGGGGAAATACTTAAAATGAGGAAGCTTTGGATGGTTTAGCCTCCAGGCGCTACTGGATTCGAGTATCCCAGACGCCTCAGAGGGCTGCTGAGACCTTCGGAAGGCTCAGTTCAGGGTCTCCCTGGTGCTCCTGGGAGATGGTGGTGTCTGGGTGACCAGTTCTTCACAAACACACTTGCCTTTCATGTTTTTCCATCCAGTAATTTTTTTCCTCTCTTAAAATATGTAGTGGCCACAAGGTCTTCAACGAGACGCCTGTAGTAACATACAGGACCCTCAGGGTGAGCTAACCTCTGGTAATTATGCTATTTCAGGTGGGTTACAATCACGAACATGGCTAAGCTAGACCAGCATGGAGTGCCATTAACTAACCTTTCAATAGGGTGACAAAAAAACGAAGGTATTTTAAGACGGATCACAACTCAGGTACTTTCTGACAAAGTGCATCTTGCTATATCAGCTATATGACTGTACAGTTTAGAGGTTACTAATTCATCTAAAATACTAACTCATGTGGGCTATATTCATTTATAGTTTTTATACGAAGACTATTATGCCAATCCTAAATTTTCACATCCTATGGGCTCTAAGGAGAGTGATAACCCAATCATAAAGAGCAGTGACAGCGGCTACCTGTTATCACGGATGACAGCAGAGTTTCACATGGGAAAACTCCATGGCCGTTCTTCCCAACAAGGCTTATGTCACTCGTTTTTAACAGAGACTGGTTGAACAAAGATGACCATGCTTGTGAGGTGTGTGGGGTGTGTGTGTGTGTCTGAATCACGGAACTGGGTAAAATATGGGGCGAGGGAAGGAGAGTCAGAGTGGATACGTGTTACACTGTTTTCTTCACACAAATTGATTTCTTTCATGTCACTTCACGTTAATCTGATTTGGGGGAAACGTCTACCTAGCCCGTGTGGGAGTGGGTGGGGTGGTGTGATGTCATGTAAACTGACCCAGGCATGAGAACACCAGGCCTGGCGTCTGGGTCTGCAGTGTCACCTTGGAAAGTTACGTCTCATCCTTGTGGGGGGGCCTCAGTTTTCTCATTTGTAAAACAGTCAACTGGATGAGGGATTCACGAAGACCTTTGGCCTCTGAGACCCTGCGGTTAGCAGGCGGTCTCGGTGAGCGGTAGGCTAAGCCATGGCAGCCCCCCCTCTCCTCACTCATTGGCTCAGAGATGGAAGACAAGCACTCCGGCTTGTGAACGTGGTGAAAGTTTGAAAGTTGAGAAGGATGGAGAGAGAGAGAGAGAGAGAGAGAGAGAGAGAGAGAGAGAGGATATAATAACATGAGTAGAGGATGACTTTCATTTGAAAAGCCTTAGCCACTTTAGTGCTCTGAATAGAAGTGGGGAAAAACGGTTAGTATTTATTGGAATTTATATTTTTAGGTCATAGAGTGTTAAGGTCAAATTTCAATTACCTAATAAGCAATCTTACATAAACTAATTTACAGGCCTTGAGTAAATACAAGAACACAAAGCTTTAACTGCTCCCTGTGTCTCAGGTTAAATCCCACTACACATTTGACGTTAGACTCCTGACTGTCTTTAGTAATCAAAGCAAGTCAACAGGTCTAGGTAGTTAGGGCCGTGGTGGGATCAAGGCTGTCTTTGCAATGTCTAAATGCAAACTAGATGCTACCAAACAGCTTAAAGAAATGAGAAGAAAGCACATGACCGGAAGGACACAGGACACAGACGTGGACGGTCAGGGCACGTACCTGTGGGAATAAACGCCGTGTGTTGCTGCAGCTGTGCGCTCGTCAGGGCCTGCTGGTAGTGCAAGACGCTGGGGTTGAAGACGGTGCTGGTGCCGTTGCTCTTTTCCAGAGCTTGTCTCTTTGGTAAAGGATGAAGAGCACCGGGAGGAAAGGCCTAGAAGGGAAGAGGTGGACAGGATGTGTCCAACTTAAAGCAAACACGTCTTCCGTGTCCACAGAGATCATCAATTGCAACATTCTCTTTTTCTTTCTCTTTCTTTTAAAAAAGACAGCTAAGGAGATGCCTCTGCCATGCACCTTAATTTAAAGAGCGGCAATGTCGAATGAGTGAGAATTTGTTATTGAGAGCGAAAGCATGAATTCTGTAACCCAAAAACAGGAGCATCTCAACTAAGGAAAAGAAAAACTACCAAGCAACAACAATGGAAAAAAAAAAAAAGGCTTCAGCTTTTAAAACAGGTTAAACTACTCTAAGCGGGAGAAAGTAGCATTGGCGTTATTATTAATGTCTACTCTTTAGCTGAATGGCAATTTCTTGAATTTAAAGGTTAACAGGAATTACAATGAGCATTTCCCTGAGCCACATAATTTAAGTTTGCTTCACTCTTTTGGAACAGGTATTAAATTTTGTTAGGATACATTTACTTCCCAGATTACGTATGCAAACGAGATGACTAAACACCTTACGGAATCTCCTCCATTTTAAAATTAATAATAATGATTGGGCTGCAACCAGTATTTTACATACAAATCTCAGCTGGTTCTCTGAAAAGCTACATGCAAAGCGAAAGGTGAAAGGTCAAAGTACCAGGTCTACAGTTGCTTCGAGAGGTCGCTTCAGTGCTTTGGCAGTCGACTGAGTCTTTTAATAACAGGCAGCGAGCACATGATGGCAGTGGGCCAATGGGATTCAAGCGAATTAACATACAGGTAAACAGCAAGCAGAGGTGCATCATGGGAACGGCATTGCATTGTGGATAGGTGAGAAGGAAAAAAATATTCTGAATGCAATATACAACGTACAAAACACTAGGCATGCACAACAACAAAAACGTTCTCTAAAGAAATGAATCTTACACCCTAAATTAGTATTGAAGCAAAAATGCATCTACTATACCTTAGTTAAAAGCATATAAGAGAGTAAAATATAGATGTTTGAAATTCAGGAAAGTATATTAAAACAGCAGCTTGCATACACACCATAAGCACTTTTTTTATATTGCTTGGGAGGGGGGATGCAAAACTCTTAGGGACCACAAGGCTGAAGAACATCTGATAAGTTAGTTCCGATACAAAACAATGAAGAAATAAAGTCTATTCCACCCTGGAAATCTTTGTTTGGGTATGTTTTGATTCAGATCTAACCTAACAAAATGAAGTGGCGAACTGAGACAAAAAAAATTCAGGCAAAAAATAGTCAAACACAAGATTATTTAGGTGAAACAGTTTGGGTTTGGGTCATTATTTTTTGGCTGAATCACGCGGGTGATTGTCTCAGTTCTCTCCTTCACTCTGCTAGGATGGGATTAGCATGAGGATTAAGGTCCCACACCTAGTGTGATTCAAATTTAAAAGGAACTTTCCAAACATTCCACATCCACACTACTCTGGTTCCTGTGACCAACTTATCATCCGTTCTGTTTCTGTCATTTATTTGAAATTATAATTCATTTCAAACAACTTACCAGGTTAGACTAAGAAAATACCCTTGTGAAAGGCATTTTGTGTCCTTGGGTATTAAAATAATTCCTCTTTAGTTATGCTATCTGTACTTTTAGCAACGATCAGTGATCAAACCAGTTAAGGAGAAGTGGGAGAAGTGGGAGCATCACTAGAAGGGGCAGTTAAGCCGGCAGAGAACTGCCTGTGGGGAAGCGAACCTTTAACTCAGAACCCTGCTTTCAGGAAGACAGTTTCCTTTAAACAACCAAGGTAGCACTGAATCTGGATTGATTTAGACAATGAAAAAAAATTTCCTCTTTTCTAGTTAATCGCTAAAAGGTAGAAAAATCCTATGACAGAATTCTGTGAAAATAAAGAAATCCAGGGAGCAGCTTCAACGCAAATAGGAAGAATGAGATACCCCCTCTACGGCTGGCACAATAGGTAAATCCCCAAGGTCTGTCTGATAGAATTCACAGGCCGGAGCTCAATGCAGAATGACAGTGTTTGTAACGAAAGGGGAGGTGCTTTGCCCTCGAGATGGGAACAATTAATTTGGTAAATGCAGGGCTGCTCCTCACTTGATGATTCGGGATCAAACACGTGAGAGGTGATAACTTAGGAACTGCGGAGCTTAGAGAAAGAGATGAGAAATGTGGGCCGGGGGGGGGGGGGCGGGGAACTGTGGGCAGAGAATGGCCAGCAGTGGAGAGAATGTTCTGGAAGGCAGTTTGGATAAAGGCTATCTAATAACACAAAACTGATTTCTTTTTTCAAAATAAAAACAGTTCAAGCTCTTTGATATTCCTTTTTATTTTGTTTTTTAAACAAGGTCTTCCTTTGTAGCCTTGAATTCACAGCAATTCTCCTGCATCAGCCTCCAGAATGCTGGGGTTAAAAGCATGGGCCATAACACCTAGCAGCTCCTGGATATTATGAAATGTAAGTACAATACCATGAAACTTCCCTGACTCCATTTTTGTTAAACTCTTTCATTCCTGTATAGTTTCACATTGTTAACTAACGCAGGGAGGGTCCGTATTGTTTGTTTGTTTTTATTTATCTGTGTGTGCACTGGTACATGTATGTAACATGAAGCGTGTGGAGGTGGTGCTCCTTCCAGCGTGTAGGTCCCAGGGACTGAACTCTGGTCATCAGGCTTGGTGGTAAAGGACTTTACAAACTGGACCTTCTTGTGGGCCTGAAGCACTTGCTGTGGCTTTGGAGCTTCAGCTGATTTGGATTCACTAAAGAGGACTTCATGGCTGCTCTCCCAGGTCACACTGGGGATGTTCACCAGATGGCTGAGTCCAAAGCCTTCTGCCCTCAACTTTCAGCCTCTGTTTCTCATTTTCCCAGTCCTTGAAGCGCCTAGTGGGCAGGCCTTTGGATGAGCCTGTGTGTCTCCAAAGGCTGGTGCTCAGAGACACACTTCTGACTAACAGAGCATCCTTTAGTGAGCTCTTCATGTGGAAAAAGTAAGGTCAACTATTTCTTTCTAGAGCAGGCATATGGAAGTTTAATGGCCTCTCTCTCTCTCTTTCTCTCTCTCTCTCTGTTTCTCTTCCTCCCTCCCTTCCTTCCTCCCTCCTTTCTTTCTCAGGTAGTTGAAACCTAATTTTTAGTGTAATTTAGGAGTTCAGGAAGCTAAGAACTGTGAACTGAGGGCAGTGACATTTCTCTTTCCCCACAGCAAAGTATATTTCCTTTATTAGATGCAAATATCTTCTGAGATACATTGAGGTTTTGAAGTATGAAGGTTTCACACGTGCTGGTGCAGGTGAGACTGCCCGCTGGCGTGTTTCCCTGCACCGAATGATCGGTCAACCTTCAGGCTTAGGTCTGACCTTAGGGATGGTGGAGCCCAGTGTATGTTAGGAGCTTGTTTGGTACCAGGGTAAGAAGGGTTAGTCTCACTGTAACTCTACTTCATGCCAGAAACTCGGGCTCTATTCTTGCTGGCCTTGTCTGCATCATTGAGCATCTGGCCTAGGGTCTTCTCCAGCTGTTCTGAAGGAATAGACACATATGACAAGACTTTATGTGAAGCAGAGATTTCTTTTTCAGAGTCAAGAACCCTACCCCACTTCAGGTCAAGGTGAGAAGAAAAATCATCCAGGCCAGCATTACAGTTGAGGACCAAGCCCAGGGGGCCAGGAAACCCTGCAAGACCAGTCAGAAAGGCTGCTTTACTGGTTTCATATACTGAGGTGGATGAGAAGCATGGTACTCAGAGCTCTTGTGTGTGTTCATCTGGGACAACTGAAACTTATCTGGCGGACAACTGAAACTTATCTGGCAGACAGCAGCGTGTCCTGTGTCCCTGCACAGACTAGTTCTTCCCATTGTTGCCCACTTTGGTTTATGTGAACAAGGATACACACGAAGGCCAAACACCCTTTGTGTTAACACTACCTAAGAGTTCCCTCCGACTAGCTTACTCTCACGTTTGGAAAGTTTTGTTGAGAGTGATGCTTATGTTTTAAGAGGTATTATGAAAGAATAAGGTTCAAATGGAGAAAAATGCTTCTTTCCAAGAGTCAGAGATTTAAATTCTTTCTTAATGTCTGATTATATCAGAAAAGGTGTGTGTGTGTGGCGGGGGGAACCCCTGTACAAGAATAAGAATTTACACCATAGAAGTGTGCTGTTTTCTGCCCAAGGACATCAGGTAGATGGACTATTAACGTATTCTACTGTGACAAGCAGTCCCGTTCCTCTTTCTAAATAAGAAAATAGAATCAGCTTTCCGCAGCGTTCTGGATAACAGCGCCTGTGAGGTTCATCAAACCGTGCCCAGGCTGGTTTCAGATGAGCCCCCCCCCCGTGCCACCAGAAAGACATGACAGGTTCAGTAATCCTCCTGTCACTGTCATGAAGGCATTGGATTTGTTCTGAAATGACATCGCTTTGGGTTGCCTTGGAAGATGCTTTGAGATCCTGTGACTTCTCAGCATGCCAAATTTGGGCACAGTGTAACAATCCAGGAAACTATGGTAACTGACTCTCACAGCATCTACTGCGGCAACCTTCACGTGTTCTGGTGAGCTTCCATGAGAATGTGGAGGAGGGCGTGTGGCAGAGTCAGCTATGTACGGCTCAGACTGTGAGGCTGGGGGATAACCTGTTTGGGTGAAAGGATATTTTTGCTCATATCCCACCAGCCTGGGTCACTGGCCGGGGACTGAACCGGTGTTGATTGTGTGTATGGGGACTCCAACTTCTAGAAAACAGGCAGACATAACCAGAGGTTGGAGAAAATCAGGGCTAAGCATGGTAATCACTGTGACTACCATGTTTTATCTTCACAGGTGTTTGAGTTACAGGGATAAACATTTCCACATTGATCTCCAGAGCTTATCATATGTTATACTGAGAGACGGCCACTGTGACCCAGGATAATCAGCTCCCATCACTCTGACCACAGAGACAACCACAAAGACGACAAAATCACAATGATTTTCCCCCTTAATTAGAGCCTGTGTTGAAAACATTGTTTTCTTTGTCATCAGATGTAAAAATGTGTCCCTACAGATATCTCAAGCCTTGGGGACTGTGCCATGGAGAGAAGTTGGTGTCAGAACATGGAACTGACATGCTGGGGGCGGGGGGACGAAGACAAGGGGAGACAGAGCTAGCTGGTTACAGCCGTAACATCCCCAAGCCCAGCTTTTCTTCCCTCTTCCTTGGGGTGTTAATTGATGCAGAAAAATCATTGGTCAATAAACTTGGTCATTTAAGTCAAGTCATTTGAACACTGTCTCAATACCAGAGGCCCAGTTAGCCCAGGGAGTGCCTGAGTTCCTAGCATGGCTTATAAAATGCATGAATGACCTTACTGGCCAAGAATCAACACCCAGAATACTGAGTTGGAGTTGGTCTGAAAGTGACCATATAGAGGACTCTCATGGAGTAGGACCTTCACTAAGTACATGGAGCAGAGTCCTCTACACTGAGAGACACGTAAAGGACACGTTTGCTCTAAAAACAATTCACTATTCATATGCATGGAATTATCCGCATGTTTTTATCTTTCCATCCCTCCTCCCTGTTTCCAAATTTCAGAGTTCTCGATTTCACTAAAGCCCTTCCATGGCAGCATTTCTCCCTTATGTGGACACACGTGGCCCCACAGGTGCAGGGACTGAGACACTCTGTGTACTGTCTGAAGACACAAGAAAGGAAAGAACACAAGACACTAAGAGACAGTCTGAGAAAACCCCAGGAAGGTCGAGGAAAGGGACACTTGGAGCCCAGACTATCAAGACCTGTATACATAATCATTATAGCAGGCAAGCTCTGAGCGTCTTTCTGCTGAGACCCTACCACTTGGGACAGGTCTGAACTTCCATAAACACTCACATAAAGGATGCAGAGTGAAGAGGAGGTGTTGTTGGGATGTGGAAGCCCATCTTTCATCTTGGGTGCTCATCACTGTGGGACTGTATCTGCTAGGCTAGAAAGCGCTCTCGAGATAACTTCTTAGAGATCTATTTTTATTATGTATTTAAGGGTGTTTGACCTTCATGTATGTCTGTGTGTCTCTTGCCTGGGTGTCTGTGGAGGACCAGAAGAGGGCGTGGGGTGCACTGGAACAGGAGGTACAGATGACTGTGAACCATGTGGGTGCTTGGGTTAGAACCTGAGTTCTCTGGAAGATCAATCAGTGCTCTTAACCACTGAGCCATCTCTCCAGCACCTAGACCATGCTTTGGGTGATGTCTTTCCTCTCTGAAGTCCCACCTACCCCTTCCCAGGGAGGACTGGCTCCTATGTTCTTCCTACCCCCATGAGCCCATCATGCTTTCCATTCTGTGAGTGAGAAGCACCATCGCTCACACTTAGACATGCCAAGCTCCTCAAGGGCAAAGCAACCAGCCGCCTTTATTGACTCTACCCAGCAGGTCCTTCATGGCTGGCAGGCTTCGAAATGCTGTCTACAAATGAATGCACTGTGCCCACTGTGCATTAAAGCAGATTTCTTGGGAATCCACTAGAAATGTCTGCATCCTAGCGCCATGGTTCTCAACTGTGGTTGAACCCAGGAGCTGAGCCACCTAAAAACTTTGGAGGACATGCCCCTGGTCCCTGCCCAGCACACAGCCCTCCAAAAGGCTACTTTAGGGTTAAGATCAATGTCAGATCCTTTCTAACCCATTCACTTGATTCCTCAATATGGCCAAGATTGGGGGCGTGGTCTAGGTATGTGATTCTCCAATACCAACACCATGCAAATGCCTGGGAATTGTTACATGTTATGTGTATGTGTGTGTCTGTGTTTGAAGGTGTGCATTTGTCAGGGGAGTTAGTACCTCCTGAACGATGGCGTTCTAGGCTACTGTGAGTCGCCGAGGTGAGGAGGGCTGGGGGGGTCAAACTTTCATTCTCCCAAAGAGCAGGGCATAGTCTTAACCAACGAGCTACCTTTCCCAGTCTGAACTGGGAATTTATTTTTTAAAAATTAAAGTTCTGATCCTGAGAGTCTAGGTGAGACTTAGGAGTCTTTACAGGCTGTCGGTGGCCAAGGGACAGTGAGATTCAGGAGCTGTTAGAGCATTGGTTCCTGAGGGACAGCAGAGAGAAGGGCTAGCCTGGGTATAGGTGTTTCAGAGCCTTTGTTTCAGCACCAACTAGCTTGCTTCCAGTTTCACTATTGCATGAGTTGCCACTGGGTCTGACATTTCCCTGAGGCCCTTGGCAAGCACTGCCTGGGCTGAGGGCAAAGAGACAACAGGAAGAGGAGCTGGTGTCTGGCTGGGTCACGGGTGGCTGGGTGTCTCTAAAGGTTCCAGTTCCCTTCTAGAGGGACTTCAGCAGCTGGCTGCATCTGTTGTTTTGCTATGGGCTCTCTGAGTTTGACTTTTCTTGACTGCCCTAGGCCCGAGATCCCAGTTAATAAGGGAACGGGACTCACAGGTGAATCGCAGAAGGGAAAAAGCTCACAGCTGGGGTTCCCTGCGCCTTGGGGATTTAGTTATTGTGAAGAAGGGAGGGGACAACAGAACAAAACGAAAAGGGTGGGGGATGACAACAGAACTTAGGCAGCGGAGCAGCAGGAATGGCAGCCTCGTCTCCCAGCTGTCCTTCCCACCCGCAAGCACCACCCGCGGCCTGGGAGGCGGTGTGCGGTGCAGGCGCGGGCGGTGCACTTACCATGACTGTGGCCGCGGCCGCGGCTGCCTGGGCGGCTACCGCGGCCTGGTTGGCTTGGTGCTGCGTGGCTTTGATTTTGGCCTGCAAGTGTGCAGGAGGGTGAAAATATTTGCATTTCTCCCTCATGCAACGCCCCTTTATGTAATCCATACAAACGGTTACGGTGTTGTCGTTTGTGTCGATCATAGTGCTGTCTGCCGGGTGTGCAAAGCGGCAGTCTGTCTCTCCCCGGGCACAGTTTCCTCGCTGGAACTCCCTGCATACCTGAGACAAGGGGAAAGAGCAGAGCGCTGCAGAAGAAAGCCTGGTGCCCACCGTGCCCACGGAGGGGGAGGTGGGGGAGAGGTGGAGGGTGGGGAGAGGAGGGGGAGGAGGAGGAAGAGGAACAGGAGGAGGAAGAAGAGGAAGGGGAATGAGGAGAGGAGGAGAAAGGGAAATAGGAGGGAGAGGGAGAAAGGGGACTAGGAGGAGGGAGGGGAGAGGGAAGGGAAATGGGAGGCAGGAGAGGAGGGGGAAGAGGTAGATGAGGAGGAGGGAGAAGAGGAGGAAGGAGGACGAGGAGACACCCTTTCCACTTCCCCTCATAATGCTTTCAGGTTCACAGAGGGGAAAACTGTTATGATCTCGAACCAAGTCACCGGAATTTCTAACAGACTAATCAGGGCTTTGCTTTGTCCCTTTTCCTAGGGTAAATATTGAAATGGAGAATTTAATCTGAAATCTGCTCTTTACCTAAAACAACAAAGGAAAAATAATTGAACAAAGTCACCACTGTTCCTGAAAAGAATGCCATATTGATTTTCATTACTTACATATACGTCTTTGAATGCTTATCAGAGTTATAAGAATTATAACACATGAACATATCCACCATCACACAACTCACGCATCTATGTGTGTGTGTGTCTGTCTGTCTATCTATCTATCATCATCTATCTATTATCTATCTATCATCTATCAATCTATCATCTATCAATCTATCTATCTATATATCACCTATCAATCTATCGTCTATCTATCATCTATTTATCTATCAATCTATCTATCATCTATCAATCTATCTATCTATCTATCATCTATCAATCTATTATCTATCTATCATCTATCTATCTATCATCTATCTATCATCTATCAATCTATCTATCTATATATCATCTATCAATCTATCATCTATCCATCATCTATCAATCTATCTATCATCTATCTATCAATCTATCATCTATCAATCTATCTATCTATATATCATCTATCAATCTATCGTCTATCTATCATCTGTCTATCTATTTATCAACCATCTATCTATCTATTTATCAATCATCTATCTATCATCTATCTATCTAGCTATCTATTTATCTATCTATCATCTATCTATCTATCTATCTATCTATCTATCTATCTATCTATCTATCATGTACTATCATCCTTCGCTCCTTTTTACAATGTCTAGGTGGCCATAGCTATGCATTCCTACACACCGTCTTTTCTCTTTTTATTTATTTTCCCTTCCCTTTCACTCTCCCCTTGCCTCGCTGCCCTCCCTCTTTCCCCTTTTCTCCCATTCAGGGTCTCCTCAGTCCCTCTACCTACCTATGCCTTAAAATGCCTGTGTGCTGGTTACGCAACACACATGTGTACAGCTGGGTACCCCCTACTTGGATAGCCATTCTAGGGTGCTATAGAGTCCTGGCACAGAAGGGTGGTTTACCCATGGACCAAGAGACCACCGTGTGTAAACAGTTCTGGGAAGATGGCGTATCTGCTCACCTCTCTGAGGATGGGGGACAAGGCTCAATGACTGTAAAGGCTCCTGCCTCTTCTTCTTCCTCCCCCCTTCTACAAAAGTGGATATGTAAAGCTACCAATCACAAGAACTATAACCCCCGGACATCAAAACTTTCATTTTAAACTCACTGAAGTATTTTTGATCGCTTCCAAGGAAAAGAAAAGGTTAAAAGAAAAAAAAAGAAAGAAATACAGTGAGAGGAAAAGAGTAAATAAAGGGAGGGAACAGAACAGTAAGAAATATTGATTTCTAAAAAATTTTACTCTCCGTGTCTCCTAAAATCCAAAATAACTAAACTTCCCTATCTTTTGATAATTCTAGTGAACCAAGATTTTACTATACATAAAGATTTCTGTAGACATTGAAGACTGTTCTTCATTATAGGCAGTATAAAACAAGAGAAGCCTACGCATATTATTTATGTAATTTATTCCTGCTTTATAAATATCAGCATGAAAAATCCCACAGAACGGTAAAGTTGCTTCTCACGGGCTCCAGTCCCGCAGCGAGCAAATGCTTCTTGGTCACCAGGGACACTACTGAAGGGACAGAGCTAGTAGCTAAAGTCCGGGAAAGTCAGTCCTGTCTGGGGAAGTGTTTTACTGACCCATGGTCAAGCCAGGTTGGTGGACCTCAAAGTCACACACAATTTCTTCCTATTTGGGTATTGTCCAAAGTTCCATCATCAGAACAATGGTCCCTAAATTGAAATCTAGTCAGGTATTCACCTAGATTCTGGTTTTGTTCATTTTGTTTTTCAAAAGAATCTCATGTAGCCTCGGCTGGTTTCAGATTCCCCATGTACCAGAGGCTGACCTTGAACTCCTAATCCTCAAGCCTGCGACGACACTCTAAGTGATGGGATCACCACACTCAGACGCATCAGGTCCTGACTCCCGTCTATCTGAACCTCACTGGTGTAGCTGAAGCCTTCACAGGTGTATTGGAGGCAGCTGACGCCATTCCTGGTGTGAAATGAACCAGAACTGATCTGCTGAGGTCAACTGTGAAGAGCAGATCCCTTGTCTACCTATCTTGTTGAAGGAACCTTTGTTTCCAACTATTCTTTCTCTCTCTCTGGTTTTTCAAGACAGGGTTTCTCTGTTGCTTTGGAGCCTGTTCTGGAACTAGCTCTTGTAGACCAGGCTGGCCTTGAACTCACAGAGATTCACCTGCCTCTGTCTCCCAAGTGCTCGGATCAAAGGTGTGAGCCACAACTGCCTGGCTTCCAACTATTCTCATTTTATTTGGTTTTCACTATCATATCCTGAGCATCTAAGCTCCCTCAGCCCCAGCAGGTGGAACTCCAAATACCTCCATCCTCAGCATCCTCAGGACAGATCTCAGGGGCCACAGCATAGCCTAAAGTTTCCATAATAGTTGCAAAATAGGATTTATATTTCCTTTCTCTAGAGACCCATATACTCCAGATAGAAGCTGAGAGAAAAGAATGTACTTTTGTAAATATCTGTGTTTGACGTCCTGAACTCTAAAACATCTGCAGGGCCTATAAACATTTCTTGTCCCCAAGATTTATTTGATTAGTATCTAAATGAATGCACACTGGAAGACTATTTCTTAATAGGCCTGCATTCTAAGTATATACAGACTGCCTAACAATTCTAATCAATATTGGAATTAATGGAGCCTTTCAGAAATCTATCGGGATCTTTACATAACCATATGGGATGTTCTGTTGACTATCACTGGGATAGTGAAGCAGGATTAATAGGCAAATCCTTAGCTCTGATTAAAGAAAAATTTTATTCAACAAAGTCCAGGAGGATTTTGCTTGATCCAAATGTAAAAGTGTGTGTGTAAATACATGCACTTAATCCTGATTTTTTATAGAACATTTGAATTTATGTCAAATTAAATATGATATGTTAAAGAAAACCTATCAATAACCACATAAAGCCTACTTACCAGCAACACCATTAAGATGCTGTAGCATCTGGGACATGCTAGTACACCCATGCTTGATTCATACAACTGTTGGGAGCTGACGTGCTATTTTCTCCTCCTCGTGTCCTTAAGTGCTTCCATTTCCCTGACTGTCAGCTCCTGGCCATTTTCAGAACTTCCTGGAGTCCAGTAAGGGCTCTTGCTGCTGTGTACAGCAGGAGCGTGTGAAGACCAAGAGCCATATCCTGATGACAGCTTATATCCTGATGATGTCCATATTCTATTGGTTGGCATTTATCTAGTGTTTTGAGACAGGTTACCACTCTGTAGCCCACACTGGCCAGGAACTTCTCTGTAGCCCAGTCTGGACTTGAACCTGTGACAGGATTCTCACTCCAGCTCCTTGATGCTGGGATTACAGACACAGGCCACCATATCTGGTCAATATTTTCTTCTTATGCATAGAACCCATGTTAACTGACTTTTGCTTATATCAAAGTTATTCTTTTAATTTTACACTAAAGAACTGTGAATACAAGGGTTTACAACTCTGTGTGTGTGTGTGTGCACGCGTGCATGCATGCATGCATGCACACGTATACACACACATGGATTTTTCTGAAGGATGAAATTATGTCACAAGCATTCATCCATTCTAACAGACATACATTTCTGCCACCAATGCATTTCCAAACACAAACATAATTGAAGTACCTCCAGTTTATCAGTCCTGAGAAGTTTCTGAGTTGCAGTTGAGCCCGGGACAGTGACCGGTGGACTTCCAGGAACAATGACCGGTGTAGTTGGTAGAATCTCTGTTGGGACTAACCCAACTCCAGGGGTGACGGGCGCTAAGTAAGGAGCAAAGCTAATAGCTGTATTTGTCCCTATGGTGGGACCTACAGGAAAAGTGGGCTGTTAAAGGAAAACAACAGGAAACACTTAGTTAGTTCAAAACCTACCAACAAGCGTCATTTGAGCAAAATTCCACAAGTCACTAGTAAATATCATTTGAGAGAAAATTTCCCCTGCCTAGACTATCCTTTGCATCAGTTACATAATTCAGCTCTTAATTGCAGAAGTTTATTAAACACTCCCTCTTCTTTCTTTCTTTTGCTCCTCAAAAATGAAAACATTATCGATCTTTTCTTACCCAAACAATATCAACACATTGGAGAGCACCAGAGGAACACCCAAATTACATATCATTCCCAGCTATTGAGAGTTCTAACCCAAAGGCAGTAAGACCTACAACATATAGACTGGTCATCTCTGCATTTTCCTAGAGGTCTCTACAAGGGACATGAATTAAAACACCCCTTGATTATAGCTTGATAGTCAAATTGGCCAAATTCACACATTTTCGAACGTTAACTTCCTAGGGGTCTGTTTTGCTCAGACTTACCGGTATGTTCCCATCTTTCATCGCTAGTACAGACATGCCCAACTCATAGGTGCTTTTGTGTGTACCTACTATGTGTTGCTAACCCCTACTCTGTGTCAATATGTCGATACATCCTCCCATTCTGGAAAAGCTGGATGGGAGAGCTTGCAGTTTTCAACTGTGAATATTTTATCACATGACCTCTAAAACCCCAGAGCCGCACAGCCAGAGAAGCAACGACAAGCACACCCAGTCTCTGGTGAGCCGTACTTCCCATCACTCCCATCCTCACTAAGAAGAGTTACGCTGTGGGTTGGGAAGATGATTATTTTTTAAAGTTCCATCTAACAGACATCTAAATAATGCCATATTTCAGAAAAGACACTATGCATACTTAGACAACAAACCTTATTTCACATTTATTTATTATTTAGACAAAGTCTCCATATGCATCCCAGAGTAGATGGTAACTATTACGTAGCTCACGCTGGCTGTGAACTCAGCACTGTCCTGCCTCAGTCTTCTGGGATTATGGACACGAGCCACCAATTAAGCTATGCAATTTTACCTTTGAAGAACCACTGTTAACATGGTTTCCAAAGATTTTTCTAAGAATAAACTGAACACTGAACTGGACCCAATGGCTCTTTATTTATTTGCTTGGTTTTAAGATACAGAATTTTTTTTTCTTTTTTGAAATGTTAAGGCTTGAAGCTAAGGCCTCCCATGTGATAGGCAAGTGCTTTTCCACTGAGCTACATCCCAGACTTACAGACAACATGTAAACTGTTTGTTTCCACGATAAATTCCCAAATATTTCCAGCCAGGTCGTCACGTGACTTTCCAGCACTGAGCTACACTGTTGCTGTGTGTCATAATGTTTCTCTATTTTTACACTGTGGGTAATCTTCTCGTTGTCTGCTTAGATTCCAGATGAGTTGTTTAACACATGGGAAAACTAGCAGTTTGTGTGAGTGTATTTCATTTAGGACGACAGAGCAATGTCTCTTACAAATGACCACGCTGCCACGTCGGGAAACAGCAAAGTATTGACAGTTGGTGCAGAGACTTCCAGAGAAGCGGCCGAGAGCTACAGCAGGGAATTCTAACAGTCTGGGAGGAATGCTGCGTAGTTCCCCCATGAGGAACTCTTACAGCTTTATGGTTCAGAAATAATGTTTGCTTTGGGAGAAACTGCAACATGAGCTCCGCACACTGAGAAGGGGTGGTGGTTTAGCGTGTTTTCCTCCTTGACTTACTACAGAATTTTCCGTGGATGGGATGTGTTACCCACTGGAGTCATAATTAGAGAAAGCTGTGGCGTTTTGTAACTGTCCCTTCGGTAATTCAGTACTATTGAAAAGAGTAACCTCATCGTATAAGGTCTATATTTATTTTTTTAGGATTAAAAATATCAACCTTTTGAGGCCACACACATCAGTGATTCAATGGACCCATTGTACCTGAGCAGCCTTGGGGGGCGTGTGGATTCCTAAAGCCACGGATGCTGCTGGAACAGGTCTCGGCAGTTAAATGAAATTCTCATTTTAAAAGTCTTACTAAGTGAAGAGTGTGTGACCAGATTTGGGGACCATTCTCAAAAATGAGGAATGAAAATAGGTATTAAAGCTATATTCGTACCACATGATTCAGTTCAAAGAAGAACGGACAGAGCAAGTATTCACACAAATGGAAACTCCCACGAGCACCCCTGGTTTGATTTTTATGGATGTAAATGTCTTATTTTTGCATTTATTTATTTTCCAGTACCTCTGCACGTGTGTGCCATGTGTGTTTAAAGGTGTCTATGAGGTCACAGGAGGGGCTTAGATGCCCCTGGAGCTCTAGTATCTGCCTTCGTCAGCTGCCTAACATGGGTTTTAGGAAATAAGCTTGGGTCCTTTGGAAAACCGGCAAGCACTCTTAAATGCTGAGCCATCTCTCCAGCCCCTATTTTTTTTTAAACAAAACAAAACAAAACTCATGTAGATTTCCAACTCTCTTCTCCCACAGATGATCATAGTGATATAACTGCACACTGACCCTTGGATATCTATAAGTGAGCACCTCAAGATGTATTTTCCAAAACTCTTTTTGATATCAACGAACTTATTCCAACAAAATGTCAAGTTGGGCCTTCAAAGCTATGCTTTTTGTTCACCTGAGATATATTAAGATTCTGAAATATATTCATTGCACACTACAGAAGACAGTGGCAACATTTCGCTAAGACATAATGCCACTGAAGAGAAAAGCAATTACAGGTTTTAGATGCTGAGAGACCTATGTTCAAATCCAGTCCTTTCCCACTTGTTTCTGCTTCCTGAAGAGGAAATGGACTTGTTTGAGTTCTAAGCTTTCTTACCTGCAATGGACATGGAAAATCACTGAAAGGCTCATCTGCACAAATGGCTGCTTCTCTTCTATTTCCCATTGTCCAACCTCTATAAATAGCTGCTGTCACTGGTGGCACAAACATTCACATCATCACAGCCTTTGCTTTGATTATCTAATATTTCTCTAATGTGAGCGTAATAAGCACAGCAATACACAAACAGATGTGAAATGTGGAATTTAACTGTAGCAAGGATCTGGTCTTCATTTTTCTAAGTGTACGTTGGGAAAATACTCTCTATGGTGGGAAACTCAAACGTTTAAATAAGTTCATAGGCCTTATGAAGACAGATCAATTAGACACTAGACAGCATCATTTTAGCACACAAGTGCTCTTCATTGAAGCTGATGAGTGAAAAGGACACGTGAGGTCATTTGCTGAGATGTGCATTCTATAGCGGTCGTGGGACAGACTGTAACACTCCACATCTGTGAACGGTTCTGGCGTGTTCAAAGCACTGTCACGCGTGCTGTCTTCTTTAATCTCTCCAAACTAAGCCAGGAGAAGCAAGCACAGCAGATAGAATTATGGCTTTTCAGGTGAGAGCTGGTCAAAGAGCAGATCCTGAAAGGTTGAGCCCAAGCCAATGCTATTGAGGGTGAGTCTAAGCAAAGCACCCTGGACTCCTGCCTCCCTGCGCGGGCTGACGTCCACTCTTGAGCGTTCCCCAGATCAGGCCGCTGGGAATCAATATACCATGTCCGCAGGCCTTTGGAGAATAGACAACAAGCAGTGTGTGCCCCTCCACTGGCTTGAGCCTTCTGGAGATAAGACGTGTGGGTCTGCTCTGAGCAACGCTGTCAGTTCCTACTGCTGAGGAAAAGTGGCTCGGAGATCCTGGTTGAAAATGAAATGCCTGAGAGAGGATCCACGCCAGCCACAGATCATAGAGGATCCACACCAGCCACAGATCATAGAGGATCCACGCCAGCCACAGATCATAGAGGATCCACGCCAGCCACAGATCATAGAGGATCCACGCCAGCCACAGATCATAGAGGATCCACGCCAGCCACAGATCATAGAGGATTCACGCCAGCCACAGATCATAGAGGATCCACGCCAGCCACAGATCATGGCGTCTGAGATCGGTTGTCCACAGGCAGCTGAGACAGGAGCAGAGCAGGCACTCCGGAGGACTCCATTCTTAGAACCACACCATCTCCAGTCTTGATGAAAAGCTTGTAGTTTCTGCATGGTGCTGCGGCCAACAGGACTAAGACACTTTCTGCTGGGTGCCTGTCAGCACTGAGTGTGAATACACAGCTGAAGAGGCCCGAGGGCAAGATCCACAGAAAGCCTTTGTGAAGAAAATCTCTTCTGCAGGGCTGGTCTTAGTAGTTTCTTCCTCTGCCTTCCCTCCATTTTCCTGCTTTTCTCTCCTTTACCTTCCTAGGACAGTTCTAAGGCAACCAGGGTTGGGTGGAAAGTAGAATGCACAGGACTTTATGGGCCACAATCAAAATTAAATATTTAAGTCATTAGGCCTAGTGACATGAGGAAAATTTAAGGTCCTGAGGTACTGGGATGGGGTCAGGGGACAACAGAGAAAAGAGTGGAGACAGAAAGGTGAAGGAGGAGCAGAGGGTGGAGGGGGAGTCAGCCAAAGTGAAGCTAAAACCAAAATCAGGGAAGCTGTAAGATCCTGCTGATGTTTTAGGAGACCCCCTCCAAGGCTTCCAGGAGAAGTGTGGAGGGCAGAAGAAGTAGAGGTCAAGACCTTAGAAGGACAGCGCTGTGGCACACGCTGAGAACCAGGTTAATGGTGGCTTAGATGCAGGGATGGGAAGTAGAGAAGTGGCGTTGACAGCCTCAGGACAGGACATGGAGAGGACTTGCAGGCCAGAACGTGAGCTACTCTGCCGGTTTTGCTTGCGGCTGCCGGCTGATGGTTCCATTGACTGAATCGGGAATGTAGTGGGGGCCAGACTTTCAGTCTTGAAAATGTTCAAGCAAGAAGTTTTAAGTTGAGTTTAGATAGAGACAGATGTATGAGCATGGGGAGATATGTGGGGATGGGGACACACATTTGGTTCTTAGCTGGTAAAGAAATTTATAGCTCTTGGAACAGACTGTGTTAACCAAGAGAGGGCAAATAGAAATAAATATTCATTCTGAAAACTTCAACATAGAGTTGAACTAGGTAAAAAAAAAAAATTAAAAAAAAAAAAGAGCTGAAGGGTCAGAGGGAAGAGCATGTCCAAGAGGGCGAGATTGCTTCTACATGCTGAGTGCTACTAGGAGGTCCAACATGATTACACACATGAATTCAGTCTGTGAGAGTACAACCCCATACACTGGGTGGGTTTTACATACCTGACATTTATTTAGCACAAGTCTAGAGGCAGGGAAATCCAAGGTGATGGCACCAGCAGATCCGATGGTGTAGCGAGGGCTCGCTTGCTGGCTCATACTGCATTTTTAATTGTGTCTGTCTGTCTACCTCACACATACCTCATTGTACGTACATGTATGAAAATCAGAGGATAACTTGTGTGAATTGGTTCTCTCTGCCATGTGGGAATTAAAGTCGGGTCCAGCATGGTGGCAAGTATCTTAACCCACTGAGCCATGTAGCTGGCTACTTGCTAGACTGAAGATGGTGGCTTCTGGTGAGCCTTTTCCTCTGGGCACTAAACCCATTCGTTAGGGCTCCAAACTCCTCTTTGGAGGTTGTCCTTAGTTATCAATTTTACTAAGAAATATCAATGACTAGAGAAACACACTTATGTTTCTGTAGGATGTTTCCAGTGAGGATTGTTAGATGTAACAGTGACTGGGGACGGGTTGGGGCATCTTCAGTGTTGGGCGACACCCCCAACGAGATAGTCCAGAGAGAAAAGAAGACCAAGCAGATGCTGAGCAGGGTGTGCCCCGCAGTTCTTGCCTTTCTGAGAATGTCTATTGCTGCTGCTGTAATTCTTCAATCACAGCCGACTCCAGCTTCTTTCGCCTTTCAACATGGAGCTAATGCCTGCAGTTCTTGAGATACCTTCCAGGCTTTCAGTGCCAGAGAGAACCCGCTCAGCTTCCTGGACTTGGCAGCTACATGATGTTGTGCCTCTCCAGGTCCATGCTGGAGTGCCCACCCACCCCTACTGTGGAAGCTAGTAATATAGGAGGTCCCCTTCTCATCTGTTCCTCTAGAGAACCTTGCCTAATATAAACCCCAAAATCATGTCACCCCGAGAGGGGAGGGCTTCAACATGGGGAGTGTGGGTAATCAAGCATTCAGACTAACAAGGAAGGTAAAAAGTAGCTTGGAAATAGAGAAGAATATTGTGGAGAGATTTCCATGGAATGACTCCAGAGACGCTTGGGAGGCAGAAAGTAAAAGGAAGAGTCACAGTGAAGAGGTTGAGGTAGGGAGGAGACCAAATGGATTGGTTCTCACTTCTTTGATCATCAGTTTCTTTGCTGTTGAGTTGACTCTAGCTGCTGGGCCACACAATGCTCATTTATCCTGTCAGAGTGCAGAAGGCCGCAAGCCCAAAAACAGTTACGCTGCGTTATCAGCAAGGCACTGGCAGAGCATGGTCCCTCTGGAGGCTCTGGGGGAGAACATTCATCATTTGTCTCTTCCATCTGCTGGTGGCTGCTGGCTTTTCTTGGCTTGTGACCATACCAAGTCTCTGCCTCTGTAGACACATGGTCTTCTGTCTGGACCAATCCCACATTGTCCATCTCTTCTATCTTCTAAGGACACTTGTGACTACATTTACTCTGAGAGAATCTCACCATCTGTGGACTACAATCGCAACTGCAAAGACCCTGTGTTTTTTCTCTCTCTCTCTCTCTCTCTCTCTCATCCATCCATCCATCCATCCATCCATCTACCTATCATCTATCTATCATCATCTATAGAAAGCAAGAACTCTGAGGACCATTATTTAGTTAACTGACTAGGATACAAATTCATCTCTAAAATTCTAAGGAAAATTTGTTGGTGAGTTGTTGAATATTAGATTCTGCACATTCTGTACTCTAATACTTCCTGTGATTTTGAAACCAGTATTGCAATATTTAAGTGGGCTTTTCCTTTTTTTATTGAATAGTGATCAACTTCTGATTGATATCTGAGGTAAATACAAAAATATACACACAAAAAACTTAAATAGTTCAAATAATATTTAAGGCATGAATACATTTTCCTTATTAGTATGAACAGGACTGAGTACGAGAGTCGATTCTTATTAATTCTACAAACAGGAAGTGTATAGTTTGAATGACTGAGATACATAACATACTGCTGTTATATCGACCTGGCTCCTATTAAATTTACTTCCATAGACCTTATTTAATATGTATAAGTACATTATTTTAACATTTAGGTAATTTAATAAAACAAATTTTATGTGCACATCAAAAAATGAATCGTAAATGATGCACGGTGGCGTTTTGAACAGAATCACTGAAATGGCTGGTGTTTCGATTAAGCTCCGTGTGCCTTAGGTCTGCCCATCTGGTACAGCTCTGCCGGGTCCTGTGTGATGACCTATTGATACCCCTTTCCTTCAGTCAACCATTTCCTGGGCAATCTCCTTCTCTCTTCTGCCTGGCTCTTACTCAGCCCTGTGCTCACATCTGTCTATCCACGAAGGCTGTGTCTGTTTTACCTTGGAATCATCTGCATTTTTTCCCACCCTGGGCAAAGGTGAATCGTGGAATCATTTTCTGGCTGGAGGCGACCAGAACTTCCAGAAAATGGCTAAGGTCTCTCCACTCTTCCAGCCCATCCTCCTCTCCCCAACCCATCTCATGGGAACACAACAGAGGAAGTGGTGGTCGCTGGTCACCATCCCTTTCAGTTTCGCTGCGCTCACTCACACAGACCTTTAGTACAATACAGACTGACTTCTGTGGAGCAATCTTTTGTGAAAATCCACTCACTTTGGCTTTTTTAAAAATTACCTTGTTTTCGATACATAATTCACACTGTAAATGAAACTCACTGGCATTGAATGCACTCCTTTCTCCCTGAGGGCCTTACTTCTAAAGCAATTTCAAGACCTTTAAAGTGGGAGACTGAAACACTGACATCGAGGCGAAAAATATTACACAACACATAGTCACCCACTCAACTCCCTGGGACGTGGAATCTGAGGTTGCAGCAGCTACCACACCCTTTGCAGGCTTGAGGGAGACAGAAGATTAAGTGAGGAGGCCATCTCCTGGTGTGTGGCTGCTGGTGACATCCATTCTTATGCAGCTGCTGTCAGCCTCCAGCTGGAGCAAGCTGTCCAGAGCACCCTGGCTAATGACCTAGTTCAAGTTCAACGTATCAGCTGCATGATACTGGAGAGCTTATTCTTCTCTGGTCTCCCTTTTCTCTGTCTTAGATGGTGCCCTTAACTGCATAAAGTACCCAACACACCGCTAAACTTATTTTAGGCATCACGACCTCTAGCCAGAAATCACAAACTCCAAATAGAGATGCAGACCGCTTTCCATTTGAAGATGGTCTGAAAAGCAGAGTTCACTGATGAGAAAGAGCTGGCGTGGTGCAAATTTCCCAGGTATTGATCAGAAGTCCTTGTCCCATTTCTACGCAAGTATCTTTCCATTTAAATGAAGAGAAAAACACACAGCTCATTCTTAGCATCCACTCTAATTCAGAGCTATCCGCTGTAATCGCAACCAAAGTGACAGAGTGAGGGGAGGTCATTTTCGGTCGCGCGGCACTGCCCGGACTGCCCGGGCAGTCACCCACCCGTCCTTACAGAAGGTACACTCACCACAGGATGAAGTGGCGTTCCTGGAAACATAAATTGCATCTGCTGGGCAAGCATCGCTGCTGCGGTCTTTTGCTGGATCAAATTGTTCCTCCCATTAATTTCTAGTTGAGTTTTTAAGTGTGTCGGAGGGTGGAGGTACTTGCAGTTCTCTCTCGAACAGCGGCCCTGTAAAATAGACAACCTGAGGTTAGAACTGCAGTCGGGAGCTGGCCACTCCAACGCCGGCAATGTCACAGTCATTACGTCATTACTTTCATTTCCTATCTTCCAAGACTATGTGTGTGAGTGTGTGTGTGTGTGTGTGTTACAAGAACGAGTCAAATATTACATGATTTCAAAGTCCCTCCCATTCCTCTCTCTCCCCTCTCCCCTTCCTTCCCTTTCTTCCTTCTTTCTTTCTTTATGTCAAACCTAGACAACTCATTTCAAATTGGTGCCAGCCGAGAGCAAGGAGGAAGGCCTCCATAATCGGAGGAGCACGCTTATCTTGACCCACAAGGTCTTTGTTGCTCACTGGTCTGTACATGCTTGAGTGATGTAAACATGTGAAGAGCGGGCTGCTACACACATGTGACGAAGATGAGAGTCGGGGTTTGGAGTGTGAGTTCCAGACTGGCCAAAGAGTAAGCAGTCTGCAGCTGTTGATGGTGAGGCGAGGGGGACAGAACCCCTGGAACTGCTTGCTGAGACCCACCCAGGCGATAGCTCAGTGCGAGCTGGGACAAACACCCGCGGCCAGATACATAAACAGAGCTGCCATCCTTTCCCTGCCCTTCCCCAGGAAAGGAGACTCCGACTTAGTCCCACAGCGTGACAGAATGAGGAGTCTTTATGGCTGTGTTACCGTCTGAACACGGAAACTGGTAAAATGAAGCAAACAAACCAGCAGGTGACGGGTGTGTATACAATCAGACCTGAAAAGTAATTGCACATGGGATTGCAAAGTACCAAAGTTTGCAAAACTACCACTCATAGGAGAATCACGTTGATGTGTGAATTATGCAATTTCCAGAGAAAGAGCAGCAAACTGCGTTAGTCAGTTGGAACATCACCATTCCCTAAAGAATTAGTCTATTTGCAACCAGGCAGAAAAGAGTACGGGTCTGTTTATCAGATAAAAAAGGAATTAAGGCAAGCTTGGTGGAGCTGGAGGAATGAGTTTGTTTACAGCGACGCTGATGCATAACATCTGGAGTTCTGTGTTTCCCCCAATTCCAGCTGCACTTCTGGCGTCTCCAGTTTCTCCTCTAGTGAGAATTTCCCCTAGAAGCCATGGCGACGGGCAGACCTGAGCCCCAGGCTCAGTCCTGGCCCTCTGTGCCATCAACCTGTGTCACCATGAAGCTCTACTCAACGGTGTCAACAACTGCCTCATTGTCTGGTGGGGGGGAGCATGAAAACAAGTTGATATTTCACAAATCTTCAGCGTAAGCAATATCAGACCCGTAGCCTCAGGTTCTTGTCATGGATTTTCCTACTCCGATTCCTGCGTGCAGACAGACATCGTAAGGCCCAGTCCACAGCAAGGGCACCAGAAGCTGGAGCAGCTCCTGGACTTGACTCTGCCCTCCCTCGCCCTCTCTCTGATCCTCTGCACATCTTCTCTGGACAGCTCTTTGTCTTCATTTCTTAATTCTAGCTCTACTCCAGGCTCCGTGACTTCCTGGGGTCCCGCCATTCCTGTGAACTCTTTCCAGTCCTCTTCCACTTTACAGCTCTCTCTTTTCTCTCTTGACGATCCGTTCCGATGGGGCGAGCACCTTCATCTCAGCGTGCAGCCAGTCAGTGAGTCAGCTGCCTTGATGTCTGACGTCCAGGATGAATCCTGCCTGCCGTCTGTGAAGGAAGGCGACCCACCAGAACACACGGATGGGACCTGAAACATCAGCTGGAGCGCAGGCGCATCCAACACAGGAGAGTTCCCGCACAAAAGCTAAGGCATCTCCTGTGACCTCAGTCCCAACTCTCCAGCCAGAGGCTCTGCACTTGGCACCCGACAACCAAGTGACTGCAGCCCTGATGCACGTGTGGCTCTGCGTACACAGATGTGTAGAATGTGTGGGTCTGTGTACACAGATGTGTAGGTGGGGGAAACGCAGGGGCTGGAGAAACAGGATTCTAAGTGTGTGTGTGTGGGGGGGATGAAATCAGCAAAATGCCCACAATGCATCATGATGGTAGAATGTTCAGGGATATGGTTATCAATTTGACCACTATTCTTCTAAACCCAATCTTTGTTGCTATTCAAATTGACTTCAAATGGCTGTAAAATATTGTTTTCTTATTGATGCTGCCATTCCTTCTTACAACCAGAGCCCTTGGAGAACTATATTAACCACTTTTTTTTTCTGGTGATAGAACATGGCTTATACCATTAGATCCATCATCTATTGAAGGATTCCTCCTTTTCATGAGGATTAATTCGGTTTCCTGCTGCCCTCACTTACACACTCTGAGCACAGAATGGTATTGATCACCACTGTGCTGGGCAATTTATAGGTGGTTATCTCACCTCTCCTTACGGCAGCAGTGATGATTGCCTACTTCACCGAACAGCAACCAGGACCCAAAGAATAAGATAACTTCCAGGTCATCTGTTGGCTAATTAATAAGTGGGACTGTATTGTAAATCCACGTCTTGCTTGACTCGATTCTATGACTTCACTGGGATATTCATTTGCAACAGTTAAAAATCCAGGAAAGATAACAAATCTAGAACTCCTGCATCCTTCACAAAACAACAGGATGCAGAACAAAACTCAAATATGTTGACATACACATACGTGGGGATGTGGGACCGAGAGGCGATTATTTTCTTGGTCTGTGTACTGGAGGATTCACAAGCACCGTTAAACTCATGTTCTGGGCTCACAGCTTAGCTCTGCCCTTTCCTACTTGTATGACTTGGAGTTACTGTTTGATTACTTTCTTCATTTATACAATGAAAATAATGACTACATCCTCCTTGTAGAGATGTTATGTCATCAAATAAATTAAGACACAGTTCAGAGAGCTGTCTGGCACACAGGAAGTTCTGAGAAATGTTACTAGTATCCAAGGAAAGACTTGTATTTTGTTTAGAGCAAGTGTGAGATCACAGATCTACAATTATTCTTACTAGTTTTTTATTTCTCCTATGGGATAAACTTTCGTGATAAAGGCTAATTGTGATCCTTCCAGTATCATATTTGGAGTTATTTTCAGTTCTATAATTTTTGCAACTGTCCCTATATAAACAAATATCCCTGAGCCTCTAGCTCAGTCTGGTATCGATATTTTAAGAAATGTTGGTTCCTGGATATCTGAGGCATAAAACTTCAAGCACTGTGGGATTCCAGGAAACAGAATTTTAGTAAGAGACCCTATAGGATTCCAAAATCCTAAGGAAAAGATACTGTCCAAATATAATGAGTTATTAGTATGACACAGTAAACAATCTGTAGAGAAATTCCCGTGAAGGCACGCACACGATTTCTCAGGACACGCCACTTTGCACAAAAGCAGGTTGTCACAACTGACCGAGAGGGGGCAGTGTGAAGAAACAAACGCATCTCCAGAGGCCACCATGAAACAAAATTGAGGTGTCAACGATAGTGTCTCCTGAGGTTAGCCCAGGAAGTAAAGACAAGGATGAAGTGGAAACTCCCCTACAGCGGCTACGATGTGTTTCCTGTTTTTCTTTGGTTTTAAGGTTTCTTCTCTTTGGCTTCTTGGTAGAGACCTTTTTCAGAGAATGCGGGAGGCAACGTCCAGCCCTGGGAAAGCTGGGCAGGCTGGAGTTGGGAGCACAGCACCGCCAGAGGCAAGCTCACAAGAAGGACTCATGGCTCACACAAGCTTATTCACCCTTCTCCCTCACCAATTCACTCAACAGGTATTCATGACTGAACATCACGCTTCCTGCTTATCCAGGGGGAGCACAAACAAGACTGTCTTCCTTTATGAAGCCTGTGGGCTGGTGGTAAAGATGACGTGAGCCAAAATCAGTGTAATTACAAATTACAGGGTGTGTTCTAGAGGGGAATGCTGGGATGCGAGGGTAGAAGAGGACCAGAAATGACAAGAGCTACCTGAACAGAGAACCGAAAGATACCCAGGAGCCCAAATGGGAATGGGTGGTTGCCAAAGCACGTATGTGTGTGTGTGTGTGTGTGTGTGTGTGTGTGTGTGTGTGTGTATGTGTGTACGTGTGTGTGTTGTACACATATGTTGAATGTATGCTGTGCATGGTATGTTTGTGTTTTGTATGTTCACTTGTACTGAGCATGTGTGTGGTGTGTTGCTGTAAGTGTATACGCTCTGGGAAGGAATGTACCATCTAAGAACTTGCATGTAGTTTCCCAGGCTGGGCCCTGGAACGGTTGTGAGTAGGAGCTGGGAGGTGAGAGAAGAAAAAGCAGCAAGAGGTGGGTAGAGTCCAGATCACAAAAAAATGAGATCACAGCAGAAGGACGTGGTCTTCATTGCCTTTGAAAGCTTGGAAGCGAGAGATTAACACGTCGGATCTAATCTATATATTAAGGTCCATTTAACTGCTGCCTTGATTATTCAGGTTTTACATTACTAATTGTACTGTTGTCGATATGACTTGCTTAAAAAAATCCGAGTAGAATTCTGATTGATTTTCTGTGGCTGATTCTACCTACCGAACCTCTACTCCAGGAAGATTTAGACAAGAGACGGTGGTTACAATGAAGTTTGGATTTCAAGCAGAATAGAATCTATTAAAATAAGCAACCCTGGAAGATTTCAGTACAGAGAGCCCACGCTGCTCCGCCACGGGACGAAGCGAAATACGTCTCTGCAGAACAGCAGGCTGGAGCTACCAACATTATACAGTCATTAAAATATGGGGCACGGGATTGAAAAACCGCAGCTTTGGCAAAGAAAAGATCTCAGAATCAGGTTGGAGTAAGAAAGAAAAAGCGTAATAGAAAAATGACTTTTTTAATTGCCTTTTTAAAAAAACAAGTAATTTTTAGAATCTTTTCCTAGTATGCTAATTGAGACCGTCAAGTGGACTATGTAAGCAAGAAGGAAAATATACTAACTAAGGAGTTAAGAATTGCCCCTGGACAAGAGCTTCTACAGAAGGTGACAGACACTCTGTCCCACTTACTCCCCTGTCTTGGTGAACCTACAATTAAGCACAGACCCTAACAGAA